TAACCGGTTCAGTAGATTTGACGAACCGGTTCTACCGAACCGGTGCGAACTGGTAGGAACCCACCTCTGTCTACAATATAAGTGAAACAGTGATCTTTGGACCCAGGTCCACCGGACACAGTTAGAGTGCATTGTATGTTATATTTCCACATCTCTTACTGGTAACTTTACATCAGGGTAAAAAGAATATATAAAGTTGACATATGTAAGAGTATTCTACATAATCTTCTGAAACAGAGGTTCCCAATCTTGACAACTTTAAGATGCGTGGCTGGGGAATTCTGGGAGCTGAATTCTGGGAGTTGAAGTCCACCTCTTAAAAGTTGCCAAAATTGGGAACCCCGGCTCTAAATCTTACTCACTTAATTATTTGATTTCTACCCATCTCACTTAGAGATGGCATTAGTAAATATAGTAAAATAAACTCTGACAGTGGATCCAACTACCAGAAATACAGCTGCTAATTATAAATGGAGAAATTTGGCTTTTGAGGCTAGGTGGCAGCAGAGGCAACATGGAAAAAATGAGTAACTCATATTAAAAACAAAAGCCAAAAAAAACCCCAGTAATTTTCCCGGGAGTATTAAATATAAACCAGGAATGCATGCAGAAATCTTGGAATAAGTTGGTGTTTCTCATGCACAGTGGTATTATAGATCTGTGATTAATTCAAATAAGATTGATACACACAATTCATTCATTTAGCCAATACTGAGCATAGATCAGTTACTGTTCTCAACTCAGTTTCCAATTGTAACATGAATAATAGCAGTAAATAAATATTTATTTATTTATGATCCTTCAGTTCAAATACTCATGAGAATTTGAAAATGACTGTCTTTCCTAGCATAACTGTTCAATGTAACTGACTAAAGTAATGATCTCAATGAACTAAAATGTGATGATAATTCAAATAATGTTATGATGATGTACTTTTTTCTCTTTCTATTTCAGCCAGTTGCGAAAGCTCCAACCATGATTTGTCAATGGGAGTACAGAATAAGGATAACTTTCAACATTTCCCACCTCCACCTTCACATCTTGAGATTAATTCTGTGGAGCTTCCTCCAAAGCATTCAGAGCACTCCAAGATCAGTCATCCCAGCTCAAGTGCTTTTGAATTACAGCTTAACTCTGTTGAGAAGAAAACCAATGGAATTCATCCTACCCATGGAGTCAATGGAATCATTAATGGCAACACCAAAACTGATAAATCCCACCCTGGTGAATTGCTTTCACCCACAAAAACACCACCACCTGTGCTTGCTAAGCCAAAGTTGTGAGTAATTCTTTGTCATTATATATTCTAATATTATGAAAAGGTATTTTATTTTTGTTTCACAGGGGACAGAAGTTTAGCAGATAAAATTTCAAGACATCTTGAAGACACCAAGTTAGACAAGTCATGTTAGCTAACTAAGAGCATACATAAGGTCATGAAGTATGAAAAATTATAATGTTTCTGAAGAGTTGCTTCACATGACATTTTCTTCTATATGGGACTACATTGGTGTAATGGGAATGAAAACTCATCTTCAAATCATTACTTGGCCATGAAGCTTAGTAAGTGGCTTTTTTAGTCAGTTGTTATCTCTCATCCAAACATGAAATGCTTGGAGTGGAGGGATAGAAGCACTGTTGCTTACATCGTTCAATACCTTATTATTGCATAATATAAATTAATATCTGTGAGCAATGTGCTTACCTCACAAGTCTAAGGTTCTTGTTAAAATAGATGTATAGATACATCTACTGTAATGGCTCCTCTCCTAACTTGAGAAAGTAAAGACTCTTGAAACAGATTATTTCAAAAGGAACCTTTAATCGAGCAGGATGGGA